CAATTCAACCAAACATGTTAGTATGTTATTATAGTTGAAATTTTGTTTGCAAAATGTTGTATGTAATGTGTGTAATAACTACATTCAATTGTGCAGGTATGATTGTGGATTGTTTGTTTTAAAATATATGAAGTTGTGGGATGGTGTGAGCAAAGTGAATGGGAAAAGCATGCCTCATTACACATCGGTAAACATTAAAGTCATTGTATTATTGTTTTGTTTTTTATTACTATGAATATAATTTATTATGACATTCTTCATATTGTACAGGAGCAAGTTCAGAAATTTCGAGAAGAATATGTATGCAGATGGGTACTTCATCCTCAAAATCTTCATCGACAAGTCATGGTTATTGAATCAGGAGTTAACATCCTCATCTAGGAATAGAAATGTAGATATTGTATTTGATTATTTGTTCATCTTCATTGATGAATGTTGTATAGTTTATTCATATGTAATATAACTGTTAAGTTGGTTATGGATCATTTAAATGTTAAATTTTATGACATTAACAAGTGACTGATTTTTGGACCATGGTTACTATTTTTTGTATCATTTTTTTTTTATTTTGACAATTACATTATTGATTGGGTTTTACCGTCCTAGTTGCACAATATCCCTATTCAGATGATGCAAACTATCTCCATGTAACAGAGAGTGTATATTGAGAACCACAGTTGTACAAAATACATTTAATTACTACCAGATTTATATTTTACGAACATATGAAGATGAAGATAACAGATAACTTCATGCTTAATAGTTGTAAAGAATGCGCTTAACAAAAAACAGATAACTTCATGCTTAATATTTGTACATAACAGATAACTTCATGCTTAATAGTTGTAAAGAATGTGCTTAACTAAAAACAGATTGAAATTTGCATGTCACGTCTCATTCAAGTTCAGCCTTGGCCATAGACGAAATGTCCAATACAGTTAGCCACATACTGTAACATGGATAACCACATATTTGAATAACTTGCCGCTCGACCGAGAATAACTTCGCTTGAGCGAGAAACAAACCAGGAGTCCCTATTTTTTGTAAGGGTACCTCGCTCAAGCGATGGAATTCTAGCTTGAGCGAGTGTTGGCCGTAAACGTAAGTGTCCAACGAAGGTAGCCACATAATATAAAATGGGTCACCACATATTCGAATCATTAGTCGCTCGAGCGAACATAACGTCGCTTGAGCGATGCAGAACCCGAGAGTCTCCATTGTTTGAAGGTAATTCGCTCGAGCGATAACTTGCTCGCTTGAGCGAATGTTGACCTACCCGAAAACGTTTAATGCAGTTAGCCATATAATATAACTTGGTTGACCACATATAAGAATCACTTGTCGCGCAAGCGAGTACACCGTCGCTTCAGCGAGATAGAACCCGAGAGTCCCCCTTGTTTGAAGGCTTAGTCGCTCCAGTGATGACTTTATCGCTTGAGCGAGTGTAGACCCAATGACGAAACGATAATCGCAGTTAGCCAAATAATATAACTTGGTTCACCACATATTAGAATCACTTGTCGCTGAAGCGTTCATAATCTCGCTTGAGCGAGACAGAACCCGAGGGTTCCCATTGGTTAAGGTTCCATCGGTCAAGCGATGTTATCCTCGCTTGAGCGAATATTGAACCACATACCACAGACCTTAGATAGCGGTTACTTAGAACCGCTTTTAAAAAGATTTATTAGATTGCGGTTAGCTTTAAACCGCTGTGTTACGGATGTTTATAATAGCGGTTTTTTTATAATCGCTCCCGTGTAAAGAGCGGTTTAAGTGTAGTTTAGATAGCGGTTGACAAAATAACCGCTATCTTAAGTCATATATGTCAAAGTGATCGACTATAATTGCATAGTAATCGATCATAATTTTCGATAACCGATTATTATTGAGAATGATCGATTATAGTTGGAGAACATCGATCATAGTTTGTGCTAAGCGATTATAGTTTTACATAATTTCGCTCTGCATCTCTCTCGCCGGCGCACGCAAAAGAAACGTTCGTTCTCTCCCGGCTCTGGTTCGTCTATGTTTAATTTTGGGTTCTGTTCATTTGGTGTAGGGTTTAATATGGTTGTTGATTTCGGTTTTGAATTTTAATTTTTTGGTATTTTATAAATTGTCTATATTAGGATATAGTGTTGATTTTGGATGAACCAACTTCAGGGCTTGACAGTACATCAGCTTTGCAAATAATTGATATGCTTAAACTCATGGCAGAATCTAGGGGACAAACTATAATCCTAAGTATCCACCAACCCGGGTACAGAATAGTTAAGTTGTTCAACACAATACTGTTATTGGCTAATGGTATTGTGTTGCACCATGGCACTGTGGATTTGTTGGGTGTAAATCTAAGGCTAGTGGGTTTAGAGCTTCCTCTTCATGTCAGTGTGGTTGAGTTTGCCATTGATTCCATTGAGGCCATTCAGCAACAACAAAAATGTCAGCAGTTTATGCTAGAATCGCCGTGGCGATTACCAAGGACAATGCAACAGAAGAAATGTGGTGAGAGTGGAAGTGGTAAGTTTACTTTGCAACATGTCACGCCCTTGTTTCTCGAACTTGGTTGCGTGCGGCCTTAGCCTCTCGTGCGCCCTTCGCAACTAGCTAAGTCAGCCTCACCTCACTCGGGATCGTGCTCGGTGTGTGCAAGTGCTTTGGCTAGAGAAAGTGGGAAAGGATATTTAAGAGAACTTGAAGGGAAAATGCTTGTATTACTAGAGTACAAGAAAGCTCTCAAATGCTTGGATGATTTGCAAATGAGGGGGCCTCCTCTATTTATAGGCACCACCTCCTCTAGGGAATTCTCTAGATCCTACAAGGGTCTTGTTCTTTCTAGACCCTTCCACACAAATCATACTCTTTCTACACATGTCCTAGAACCATCTACACAACTCAAGATGATTCTTGCCCTTTCTACAAGTCTTCTACAAGGTTCTAGGATGTTCTTGTCCCTACTACAAATATCTACATAATTCTGGAGCCTTCTAGAAGCTTCCAGTCAAGTCTAGGCCTTTCTAAAGGCTTCCATATACAAATAACTAGGCTTAGTGCGAAAAAAGGCGGGCAAGACTCGTTCTTGCTCGCATGCGTGCGGGGAGTGATGCGGGGCGTTACAAACAGCTCTTTCAACAATCCAAGGTAATTGATGTAGAAATCATTAGTATAGGAATGGATATCACTTGTGATTTTGCTAATTCTGGATTGAGAGAAACTATGATTCTCATTCATAGATTCTCTAAAAACATCCTTCGCACAAAGGAACTCTTTGCATACAGGTCAATTCAAATGTTGGTTTCTGGACTGGTTTTGGGATCAGTCTTTTGTAATCTCAAGGATGGTCTAGTGGGAGCAGAAGAAAGAGTGGGTCTATTTGCTTTCATTTTAACGTTTATGTTATAAAGCACCACCGAAGCTCTACCAATTTTTCTGCAAGAAAGGGATATTCTAATGAAAGAAACCTCTAGTGGAAGTTACAGAGTTTCATCCTATACTATTGCGAATGGCCTAGTTTACCTACCATTTTTGCTTATACTAGCTATTTTATTCGCAATGCCTTTGTACTGACTTATTGGTCTCAACAGGAATTTCTCGGCATTTTTGTACTTTTTGATGCTAATTTGGCTAATTCTTTATACTGCAAATTCGGTTGTGGTGTGTTTCAGTGCTCTGGTGCCCAATTTCATTGTTGGGAATTCAATGGTCGCTGGTGTCATTGGTTCGTTTCTGTTGTTCTCTGGCTACTTCGTATCAAAACATGAAATTCCAAGTTACTGGATTTTTATGCATTATATATCTCCATTTAAGTATCCCTTTGAAGGGTTTCTAATAAATGAGTTCTCCTACTCAAAAAAGTGCTTCGAGTACTTGTTCGGTGCATGCGTGGTGAGAGGAGAGGATATACTTAAAGAAGCAGAGCTAGGAGGGGAGACTACTAGATGGAAGAATGTTGGGTTGATGATGGGCTTCATCCTGGTTTCCAGGTTCATTTCTTATGCAATTCTTAGGTACCGATGCTCTCAAGGAGTCATCCTTAAAGCATGATGACTCTCACACTCAAGAGTTTCACATGTCTGGGATTTATCTGCAGATAGGAAGAAAGTTTTCATATCTACAAACAAAAAATGTAGAGAATAGAAGATTATATTTTGTTGGTTTCTGTTTCCTAGCACTACTTCATTCCTCTTCCTTCCTAATTTTCTTTTTCAATACATGTTTGTTGCCTCCCTAATTCACCCGACTTGTTCCCAAAAATAGTAAAAGGGATTCTAGAGTTTCAGCCGTCTTTATTAGACGATTTTTTTTTCTATTATAATAATATGCTTTTATGAAGTTTGAATTTTGATGATCATGATACACTGGAATATAGAAAACTTAGTATTTTAAGTAGCAACTCCCGCAATGAAAATAGGGTCACGCAGTAACTGAAGTATGAACACTTCACCAAGCTCTCTCTAAAATCTTAATTTCAATTACAACTCTACAATCCTAGTATTAAATACACATCTTTGTATATATATATATATATATATATTAACACGACAATGAAGCAATTAACAGCCAGAGATCTAATGACGTATACCTGCCATTTCTTTTTATTGTAGCTTTATATCTCTAAATGTAATGGCCAAGAGCCCATCTTATTTACAGGATGCCATCATTTGTAAATATCACACTTAACTAGTTTGAGCTGATATCCTTGGCAATCAAACTGAGCATATGATCAAAATCAATGTGCTTAACGGCAAGAAAGTTAGCAGATTGAAAGTATATATCAGTGTTAAACTAAAGCAAGTAGTAACAACAGACTGAGGGGTACATCCAAGGCTCTGCATCCACAGCCTACTTTCTATACATTTAACTTGAACCCTTACGAAAAAATCAGGAGGAACCCTCGTCTCAAAGTTCAAAAGCCTTGCTCAAATCTACAATACAAACTTTAATACCAAATTTTCCTACTTTCTACTGAAGGAATCAACAATTAGCCAGAGGAATTTTATTTATGCAACTGCACTATCAGCCTGCGGCTCCATTTCACATTGAAAGACAGGTTCAGAGTCACTTTCCTCCTCACAAATCTCATCATCATCAGCTTCTGGCACATAGCCAGCCCGCTTCATCTGTTCTGTGAGAATTTTCAGAACTAAATGGATGTCCTTCCTACGAGGGTGCCTTTTATCTTTCACCATGAAAACATGCACACGACTCTGAATTTCAATCCAACTGCAACCAGGTTGCTTAACTACTCCCTGTTGCCTCATCTGTTTCCGGACTTTCACCACATCTTTCCATCTTCCAAGCTCAGCATACATATTTGAAAGAAGAACATAACGTCCAGAGTTCAAGGGATCAATTTCCATGAGCTTTTCTGCTACATACATCCCTAATTTAATGTTTCCATGAACCTTACAAGCAGCAAGTAGAGATCCCCAGACAACAGCATCAGGCTGCATCGGCATTGTCTGTATCAAATCGTTTGCTTCATCAAGGCAACCAGCCCGACCTAGTAAATCAATCATGCATGTAAAATGGTCCTTCAACGGTTCTAAACCATACTCAGCCCTCATCGAGTGAAAGAACCGCCGTCCTTCTTCAACAAGTCCTGCATGGCTACATGCAGATAGAACTCCAATCATAGTTACATGATCTGGTTTTTCTCCAGATAGCAGCATTTTCCTGAAAATTTCAAGGGCATCCATACCATAGCCATTTTGTGCATACCCCACTATCATGGCATTCCATGAGACAATATCCTTTTCTACCATTTGCTTAAAAACCAAGCATCCATCTTCAACCATTCCACATTTCATGTACATGTCAATCAGAGAATTCCCTACAAAAATGTCAGATTCTTCTCCAAACTGAAACCAAAATCCATGCTTCAAAATGTGAGTGTGAGCCTGTCTACCAAGTTTCAGATCGGCAAGATTTGCACACGCATTAAGAATATTCCCAAAGGTGTAATGGGTTGGCCAGACAGATTCCCTCTTCAGAAGGAGGAAAAGTCTAACTGCCTCCTCGTTCTCCCCATTTTGTGTGTAACCTGCAATAAGGGCATTCCAGGACACGACATTCCTCTCCATCATCTTTGAAAACATCAACCTAGCTGCTTTCACACTGGCTGCCCTGGCATATCCACTAACCATGGATGTTTCAGACACCACATCCCTAACTGGCATCCTATCAAACACTAATTGAGCTTCACTAACTCTTTTGCATTTTGCATACATATCAACTAATGCGTTGCCTAACACAAGGTCATTCCGAAACTTATCCCGTTTGATAACACGAGCATGAATTTGCAAACCTTCCCTGATTGCTGACAAGCTCGCACACGCACTGACCACACTGGCCAGAGTTACCTCATCAGGTTCAACCCCATTATCCATCATCCGAACAAAAATCTCCAGAGCTTTTCCCGCAGGCCCATTTTGCTCATAACACGTAATCAAACTGTTCCAAGAAACTATATTCCTGATAACCATTTCATCAAAAGCCCTTTGAGCACAAGCCACCACTCCACACTTGGAGTACATATCAACAAGAGCAGAACCCATATAAACATCTAATAAGTAACGAGACTTTGATATCAAAGCATGGATTTGAACTCCCATATTCAAATCTGTCAACCCTGCACAAGCACTAAGAGCACTCCCAAACGAATACTCATTAACCACAAAGTCCTCACTATGCATATCAACAAAGAACTTCAACGCTTCCTCAAATCGATCATGTTGTGCAAAACCCGACACCATAGCATTCCATGAGCACTGGTCAGGCTCGGGAATCGACTTAAAAACGTTCAGAGCCTCGTCAAGTTTACTAAACTTCGTCAACACGGTTAAAATCGCATTATAACTGAAAGTGTTCCTCAGCGGCATACGAACAAACACCTTGCGTGCGTCCTCAAAACAACCGCATTTTCCATATGCGTCAACGAGCTTATTCTGAATGAAGATTTCAGATGAAAACTGTGTCTTAATTATTTGACCATGAATGCAACGCGCGTCAATTCCAGACTTTGACCGAACGCAAGAGTCCAATAACTTCGCGAAAGGTGAAGAATCGAGGAAACAAAGGTCACCCACCACTTTTTGAACGAACCCATATCTACCCATTCATAGAAAGACCCTTTAACGAAACCTTATTGGAAGACCCAGAATTTGATTCTGAAAAAGCAACATGGCTATTCTCCCCAACAATGTTCTTTCCTCCGTCGAAAAGTGTTCGTTTTTTATTGAAACTCGCAAATGCCGTGTCGGTCACCTCATTATAACCGCGCCTTCCTCGCCAACGGTCTTATTGAAGCGCATTCAAAATGCGGCTGCGAAGAAAATTTAATCAAAGGCCTTCGACAATCTTCCCAACAAGTCCACTAGTTCGTGGAACACACTAATATCGTTCGACTCGAAAATGGGCCTTCTCGAGAAGGCTTGTAACCTGTTCGATAAAATGCCTCAACGGAATGTCGTAAGTTATAACTCGCTAATCTCCGGCTTCACGCGCCATGGGCTTCACGAAGCTTCGTTAAGCTCACGGTCGTAACGTTTTGGTGTTACACTGGTTGACACTTGTTAGCGTAGTTGGAACCTGCGTTTGTTTGGGTAACGCTTAATGGTTGCGTGAGGGTCCATGGGTGGCAGTTTTAGCTGGAATGGAGTGGAACTTGATTCTTAACAACGCGTGAATTGACGCTTATGGGAAATGTGGTGAACCCGATTTGTCGTGTTCTGTGTTGTGTTGGATGCCAGAGATAAATGTCGTGTCTTGGACATTAATGGTTATGGTTGTGGCGTACTCTAGAGCATATAGATTGGATGAGGCTTGCAGGGTATTTAAGGAGATTGCTGGTTAAGAACATGGTTTCTTGGACTGTGGTAACGGGTTTTGTGAAAAATGGGCGATTGACAGATTCTCTAACTGTAAAGGCCAACTCTCCTCCTATTCCCTTACCTATTCAACAATTGTTAAGAGACTTTGAGGATATTTTTCAGCTGCGAACAGCTTTGCCACCTTTCAGACCGGGATTTGATCACACAATCCCTTTACTACAAGGTGCCAATCCTGTTAACAAGCGGCCCTACCCGTATTCTAAATCTCAAAAAGATATTATTGATCACCTGATGTAGGATTGATTATCTTCATAGTGGAATAATCCAGCATAGCAACGGTCCTTATGCCAGCCCGGTAGTCTTAGTGGGAAAAAAATATGGCACATGAACTAGTACGTCATACTGAACCAATAATACGCCCTTCCCCAGTAGGAAGTATGTGTATTTTTCTACACATAGTTATTAAGTTATGTCATCGAAAAATCTCTTGCAAATATTATATTAATTTGATATTCTTTATTTTCCAGATCCAATTTTGCTTCAACGGTTGGACCAAATATTCAAGGACAAAGGACACTAAATCAAACAACTTTGAAGTTAAAATATTGAATCACTTCAGTTTGTTTATGTTATGTTTATGTATGACCGGATACATGAATTATATTGGGAAAGTATGACATTGGGTGGTTGTAATGTAAACGATTTGAAATCAGCCATTTGTGCAATTTATCCGATTTTATTCGTATAATAACCGTTATTAACAAGTAAGGTTCGTATCATAAACCCAGCACTATGCAACTAAATCAGTAATTACATGGTACATGGACCTAGGTCAGCCTTAATTATATAATTGAGTCATTAATAATGAATGTCAGGAGTTAATATATATGTAACAAAACAGAAATACAGTACAAGGACATAATTTACATTAACGACCAATACATGGTAACCTTCACAAAATTACTACATCGCCACCTACACTAAATTTCACCACTTTCTTCAGAGTCGGTCAAATTTTCATCATCATTATCATCGTCATCTCCTGAAGACATGCTTGTATCGTCTCCTTCATTTGATGGTTCCACTTCACCTCTGTGTGAAAAATCAGGGTGGTCCCCAGGCCATTGGACAAGTGCACGAAACTCATCTACGGTAGGCCAAGGTACGGGACTATGCGTGCTTATAGAATATCTGTGGAAACTTTCATTCAAACTGACCTGACCCCTATGGATGGCAGCTTGTTGACTTTGAACATGTGTCATGTGCAGCTCCAATCGGCACATGTAATCAGTTAAGTCAGATTGTGGTTGTGGTTGCGAGGAGGAGGCTTCCCTTTGTTCACTTGTACGATGTGGTTGGGGCTGAGGTGCCTGTACTTGCTGCTCAAGGCGATTTACACAATATTTATCAATGAATTTCATATCAATAGGTGGCCTGATTTTGTGTGATGGGTTCACATCTACTCCATTTGCTGCACACAGGGCTGTGATCAACGAAGGGAAACCCAAAGCCTTTGCTTGTCCAGTCTGTGGTCCGCTTTCCTGCATCACAAATTGGTGGATCTCCTTAGAAATTAAGCCTGCCACATCAAGGGAATATCCATTCAAAATGCAGTAAACCATGTAACATCTCGCCATGTTAAGATCAGAGCTGTGTTTGAGGGGTACAATGTTCGCTAACAAAAAAGAAGTCCAAATTTGTGTTATTGTGGTCATATTTGGCCGCAGGATCCTCAATGGTTTCCCAGCATGATTTGTCTCATAGGTCCTCCCTGGAATACACAAAAGTTGGGCTACTGCATCATTGTCAAATTTTCTTTCTGTTAAGCCCCTCGCTCTGCGTATCCTTTCATATGTACATATTTCACCCTCATTCAATTCCATGGGACTCCCAAGAAATTCATTTATTGTGTCCCGGTCATAGGATATCCACTTTCCCCTAACCTTTGACCTTTTTTGGTGACATCCTTCTTGAGAAGGCCAAGCATTGGCATAAAATTCTTTTACCACATCTGCATCAAACTTCGACCTTTTTTGGTGACATCCTTCTTGAGAAGGCCAAGCATTGGCATAAAATTCTTTTACCACATCTGCATCAAACTTCGACGCTGGTTCTGCAAGTATCCTCCATTTTCTTCGTGTAATCTCATTATTAAATTCAGTATATTCTCCTTCTTTCAGTTCCACTCGCCGTTCAGCGTTGAAGTTCCAACCTTGCATCATCTCATACCTCTGCTGGGTATGCTCATCTATGAAGATGTTCCTGTTGAAAACGGCAGCCGATTCACCCCTTCTAAATCTTTTCCCACGACCTCTGGAAGAGGTAGCCACTTGTTTGTCCTTTCTTGGTCCCATCAGCAACACTTGTTTGTTAAAAAGTTTAACACAAGATAATTTGAAGATCTCTATAACTGCTAAAAAAGATTCTGCAATAAATAAGGACAGTCCCTGATATAATATACATGATGTAATACAGGACAAAAGAAGAAGAACAAACAGAATAAAGAAAAAAAAAGGGAACATACCGTTCAAGCATATGATATAATATTGTAAGCAAGAATAACTATTAAAAGTTGAATGAATGTTATCGGTGTATTTCTACATTAATTTTGAAGACAACTTTTTCATCATATCAATAATATAGTGATCTTGAACGGAAATTTACATATCAACTATTACATATCAAACGCGACATGCAGTAAGTAGGATGGTGTATGAGGCAAATGAAAGACTGAGGGACCTTGTGTATGGCTGTGTATGGGCCATTTAATCTCTTCACCAACATATTGATGTGTTGCAGACCCAGCCACCTAGGGTAATTCAATGTGGTCATGCATGCAACCATGTCCTTTAAATTATATTCATATTACAATACACTAGTTTACCTACTTACATCATGCAAAGATACAAAACCAAACACAAGTTTAGGAGGCATTATGAACCGTATTACAAAGTCTAACCTAAAATTTAGCCACGAAAGTGCCTATTTTATGTAGCTAAAATTTAACCCTGTTCATTGTGCCATTCGATCAAACAGTTGGTGACCAGATTTGTATATTGTAACCCAACAAGTGGAAAAACACTTTCAACACCACTTTCATAACAAACTATTTACAAATTAAACAGATAACGAACCAATTATTCAGCAAAAAATTCATGAAAATTGTAGACTAACATGAACATAGGCACAAAACGAGAAGAATGCACTTACTTGAACCGTAAAAATGCAGCTTAGGAAAAGGATCTCCGATAGATAATGATAATGGAGGAGATTGATGGCGAGAAGAAGGTAACAATCAACAAATTTCTTCAACGTCAGTGCTTCTATCGCGCAGATGTGAAACAGGTGACTATCGGCGTCGCACACTGATTTTGCCTTTAGGTTACACGTAAGGTCCGCTTGAGCGACTTTATTGTCGCTTACATTTAATTATGACAGATAAATTAAAATTATAGTCTATTAGCAAAATATAACCGATCATATAAGACTTATAATCGATCATCAAAACTTATAATCGATTATAACGTAAAATAATCGATCATTTTCTCTGATTTTTCTTAATCGCTCAAGCGAAATTAACATCGCTCGCGCGACGCCACCTGCTAAGATTGCGGATTCTCGGGTTGTCTTTCGCTACAGCGACCAAATATTCGCTCGAGCGATATCCGATTTGAACATGTGGTCACCCATGCTACATTATGCGGCTAACTTTGATCGAAGTTTAGCCACCGGTCAACATTCGCTCAAGCGAAACTTACATCGCTCGAGCGAAGCCACCTGCAAAAAATTGGGATTCTCGGGTTGTATTTCGCTTGAGCGAAACTAGTCTCGCTCGAGCGATATATGTGTCACATATAATAGCGGTTCCAAGTTAACCGCTATCTAAAATATACTTTTAATAGCATGTTTAGATAGCGGTTCTGGGAACCGCTATCTAAAGTCCGAATTTAAAAAAAAATTAATTAAATTTTGAAATTCCAATTTTTTTTATCTCTTAATTTGTACCTGATACACCACAATTTCAGGGTATATTTCAAATTAATCTAACAAAATCCAGCCAGCATACAATATATTTTCACAAAATTATAGAAAACAATTCATAATTTGACAAATTAAAACTAAAATTTGCATGAAACAAAATTGGCATATATGTACATCAAATAATTGAAATGATTAAAAAAATCGCTAAGAGTCTATGGTACAAATTTTGTCCTTCAAAAATATATGATAGAAATATGCACACCATTCCTTTTGTAGCTGCTCAAAAATATATGATAGAAATATGC